CCGCTGGGACCAATTTCTAGTTTTCTACACTATGCAGACATGATTAGATTTAGGCAGAGGGTTTAGCACTTTAAAGGGTATATGGAGCTTAAATTATTCCAGATGTGCAATATATAAGCAGTTGAAGCAAAGGCTCTACAAACCTAAGCTTTAGTTCGTATTCATGCACGTTATAACTTATAACTGGTGCTATGTACCCTAGCATTTATGTTTGGTTTTTCTATAACTGGTGTCATGTAAGCCTTAACACGTTCCTAATATTTTCTGTTTGTTTATTTGCTGCAACAGCTTTTTTAGTTGGTTCTCGGAAACACAACCTAAAGATATCGCCGAGGGGTTAAGCGATGAGGTAAGTTCCATTTGTGAAATGTTTTTGTAGTTTCATATTCAATATTTGTTTCCATTTACTTTCAATTTTTCTAAAGCATTTAAGTACTTAATCTGTTTTTCACAACTTGATTGTGACAGGTTGCAGAGATCATTAAGGAAGACCTTTGGCCCAATCCCTTGAAATATTTTAACAATGTAACGTTTCGATCTTTTTCTGCACCCGTTCAATCGTACCTAGCTTATTTTTATTTGAGCTAATAATAAGTTGACATCTGAATTCCTTCATACAGGAAGCTGATGAGGAAGATAGCGATGGAGATGAGGATGATGAAGATGTAAGTAGAGAATGGATTTTATTTTTTTTAGTTTTGCAAAAATCTTGTCATGTTTTGTGTGTACATAGTTAATACAGCGAGCATTGTGAAGCAGGGAAAAGATGAAGATGAGGAAGACGTAGACGAGGAAGAGGAATGAGATGAATCACCGTCATCTTCTGCTGGTACTTGTGGTGTTACCATTTGCTTCTGAGATTTCAATGTTGAAAGTGCGACTATTAGTGTTGTGTCATTGCAGACTCGATAGAACTTTTAACATTATTAGTAGAGCTAGGGCGGTTATTCTGAATGTTAGAGTGGGTGCTCTCTAGGTGTTGGTCCTACTCATTTATTTGTGTTAACTGAGTTGTGATGATTTTAGTATTTTTACCCCTTCAATTTTATTATACTTCGTATATCAGTAAAGAAAGCATACTTTACACTGGTCAGTTTTTTCATTTCAGTCATCAACTGTCTATCTAAATTCTGATAATGAACAAACCTGCCTGTCAGTGACTCAGTGGTGCCATTTAGGGGAATATGTTAAGGTTTCCATTTCAATATCAGACCACAACTGATTGGGTTTTTCGAACCAAATCAAACTGAGTTCAAGAGTCACAACCAAGACCCAGTATGTCATTAGTGCAGCTAGGGAGGGAAAGCTCCTATTTTTTTGCATGCACATATATAGCTAAAGTGCTTATATTTTATAAAATATACTGAAATATCAACCTCCACCCCCCTAATAATATTTTTTAAACCATTGATTGGGAGATTGTGGTTGTGGTTCTCGTCTCAACTAGGAATAGCTTCTTGGTGATGTTTGCCACCATAATCGAATATAATTTCCAGTAGAGATAGGCTTTATACCTAGATATTGTGTGGTGTTTTGGAATTTTATGCAACATTGATTGTATCTTAGGTTCGCTGCTCTGGAGACTTGAGAAGTGTAGCGGTGTAGGTAGGCTTGGACTCGGGTCGGGCCACCCGCCCCGTGGACCGGCCCGGCCCGCTACTGTGCGGGACCGGGACCGGCCCGGTTCTCGGGTCCGGGTCCGGGTCGGGCCTAGGCCTGGGGGGTAGGACGGGTCCGGGCTCGGGTCTCAATTTTGGTGAACCGGCCCGGCCGGGTCGGGCCCGGGCCAAATTGATTTTTTTTTTCTTTTCATTTTTGGGGTTCCACCCGGGTTGGGCTTGATGGGTAGGATGGGTTTGGGAGGGTGGGGGGTGAGGGGGGGGAGGTTAGGAAAGCAAAAAAAAAAAAATCCAAACCGGAGGCCCGGCCCGGACCGGACCCGGTGGCTACCCGGGCCGGTCCCGGGTCCACCATTCTTGAACCGCCGGTCCGCTCGGGCCTAGGCCCGACCCGGACCGGCCCGGACCCGAGTCCACCCCTAGGTGTAGGGACTAGGGATGGAGCGGCTGGTTGTATATAAATTGTTTTTATATTGATGTTCAAAGGTTCATGGTATCCTTTTAACCATAAATATATTTTTTATAGAAAATCACCATGATGTCCATCTAATCTTCGGCTGGAAACCGTAAAACTATTAATGGGTCATTTTTTCTTACTAGAGCGGTCTTGTGCGCCCAAAATTGGGATCTGCTAATGGTGTGAAATAATGGAAAAGGTTACTCCCTGAGGAGCCCTGACAGATATATTTATATCAGAGAGAGTTTAATGTAAAGTACAATACTGAGCCTATAATAATTCTATTACACCCCCTCAAACTGTGCGGGAGATACAACGCACATGTTGTCTTTCAAAAAATGAAAACGTTGACTAGATAGACTTTTAGTAAAAATATCTGCCAGCTGTAGATGAGTAGGAACATGTTGAACAATCAGATCTCCATGAGCAACCCGTTCGCGAACAAAATGATAATCAATCTGAATCTGTTTACTGTGAGCATGCTGAACTGGATTTGCAGTCAAGTAAGAAGCAGATATATTATCACATAATAAATGTACCGGCTCGGAGATAGGCCATCCAAGTTCGAACAGGACTGAGCGGATATGTAGTGTGTCTTGTACAGTGTAAGCAATGGCACGATATTCCGCTTCTGTGTAGGACTTGGACACAGTGGGCTGCTTCTTAGCCTTCCAGGAAACCAAATTAGGGCCCAAAAATACAGCGAAACCTGTGGTAGACCGAGAACTATCAGGACAACCTGCCCAATCTGCATCGGAGTAAGCAACTATACAAGTTGGCCAATTAGACTGCTGAAGCCAAAGTCCATGATCTCGTGTTCCCTGCAAGTATCTGAAAATTCTTTTGACTGCAAAAAAATGAGTGGTACGAGGAGCATGCATGAACTGAGACACTAAGTGTACTGCATAAGTAATATCTGGCCGTGTCAAAGTTAAATATTGTAATGCACCAACCATGCTGCGATACTCAGTAGAATCAGATAATAACTCACCATCAGAAAGAGACAGAGTGGTACGGGAAGCTAACGGGGTGCGAACAGGTTTGACAGTATGAAGGTGAAAACGAGCTAGAAGGTCAGTAACATATTTATGTTGAGAGAGAAACAAACCTTTAGCTGAACGAATGGCCTCAACACCCAGAAAATAATGGAGATTACCCAAGTCTTTCATAGCAAAATGTTTAGATATAATTGAGATAAATTGGGTAACAGAGAATTCAGAATTGCCAGTAATAATAATATCGTCCACATATAGTAATAAATAAATAATAGTATTATTCTGGCGGTATATGAACAAAGAATTGTCGGATTTGCTACAGAAAAAATTATGTTGTAGAAGAAAGCTACTAAATCTATGAAACCAGGCTCGTGGAGCTTGCTTAAGGCCATAAATGGCCTTGCGCAGACGACATATATGATTAGGAAAGTGAGGGTGAATAAAACCACGGGGCTGCCGCATATAAACTTCTTCTGTCAGATTCCCATGTAAGAAGGCATTTTTAACATCAAGTTGTCGTATACCCCACCCAAAAGAAATAGCTAGAGTAAGTACAATACGAACAGTGGTGGGTTTAACGACAGGACTAAAAGTTTCAGAGAAATCAATACCTGCCTGCTGATTAAAACCCTGTGCAACTAATCGAGCTTTATGGCGCTCTAAGGATCCATCAGAATGATATTTAGTTTTATAAATCCACTTACAACCAACAATATTTTTAGAGTTATCAAAGGGCACCAAGTCCCACGTATTATTATTAATGAGTGCATTAAATTCATCAGCCATCGCCTCACGCCATTTTAATTGTTTATTTGCCTCAGTAAAACAGGTAGGATCTGCATTGATAGTAACTGTACTTAAATTAAAAATGGTTTTAGACTTAAAAATTCCTGACTTAGCACGGGTTTGTATGGGATGGTGATTAACTACCGTAGTGGACGTAGGTGAGGTGGTTTCAGGTGATACAGTGTCGGTTGATGTTGTCTGTGGCGTGCTAGACGAAATATGGGAGGAGAGATGGGATGGTGGGGGGCTGGTTGTGGACGTGGGATAGGAGGAATGTGGCGACGGTACACACGGAGTGATAGGAATACTTGGTTACCGAGGTGGCGATGATGGGGTTGGTGCTGGGGCGGCCGTAATTGTGGGAACAGGCTGGAGAGGTGGGTCAAGAGTGATATCGGTGAGATGCATAGGAGATGGTGTAGTAGAAATAGACCTGGATGGAGCAGATGAGAGAGTTTTAAAAGGATATGTGTCCTCATGAAACCTAACATGACGGCTTACATAGACTCGACCTGTGAAAGGATCCAAACAACGATAGCCTTTATAACCGGATGCATAGCCAAGGAAAACACACTGAACTGAACGAGGGGATAATTTATTGGCTGAGGTGGCATTAAAATTTGGATAACAGGCAGAGCCAAACACTCGCATAAAGGAGTAATCTGGAACTCGGTTAAACAGTTTTTGATACGGAGTAAGACCATTTAGGGTAGGAGAGGGTAATCTATTAATAATATATGCAGCAGTAAATATGGCATCGACCCAATAGTGACTCGGAACCGAAGCTTCAAGAAGCATGGTCCTAGTTAACTCAAGTAAATGACGATGCTTGCGCTCAGCAACCCCATTCTGTTGAGGTGTGTCAGGGCAAGATTTTCTAAAGTAAATGCCATTAGCAGAGAAAAATTGCTGCATATTATTATTAACAAATTCACCTCCCCCATCACTTTGAAAAATTTTAATTTTCTGATTAAAAAGATTTTCAACCAAAGCTTTAAAATTTTTAAAGTGCATGAAAACTTCATTTTTGTGACACATGGGATATATCCAAGTATAACGAGAAAAATCATCAATGAAACATACATAATACTTGAATCCCAAATTTGAACATACAGGTGACTGCCACACATCAGAATGAATAATCTCCAAAGGAAAAATAGAATTATGACTAGCATCCACAAAAGGTAAACGTTGTGATTTTCCTAAACGACAGGCCACACACTCATGAGTAAAGGGAGTATGACTACATAAAAATTGTTTTCTCTTAAGAAACTGTAAAGTACTATCACCACAGTGACCTAATCTACGGTGCCACACAGGGCCAGAAGCTAAAACGGAAGCAAAAACTAATGGTGACGCAGACGGCAGATGGAGAGGATAAAGTGGTCCACCACTAGTAGCTCGCAGAAGTATTGCCCCTGTTGCTTTGTCCTTAATCAAGAAAGAATTTTTATCAAAAATTACAGTACAATTATTATCAGCACAGAGCCTTTTAATGGAAATTAAATTATATTTTAACTGAGGCACATGATAAACGGATTTTAAGGTGAGAGGACGACCAGATGTAGGTAAAGCAACATCACCAATATTACATATGGGAAGATGGGCACCATTAGCAACACTAACAGAATTATAGCCGGTGTAGGGAGATTTATTAACTAAATTACCTTCAGATGCAGTCATATGAGCAGAAGCTCCTGAATCAGGAAACCATAGAGCAGGAGTAGTGTCACCGGGAGTAGTCAACAGAGCAGGAGACGTTGGTTGTGTGAAACGAGAAGGACAGTTAATGGCAGAATGACCTGTAGAAAAACAAATTTGACAGACAACAGGATGGGGAACAGATCCGAGAATACCTCCGTCTGATGGCAGGCCTGTATGACTACTGTTAGTGACACAGATAGGTAAAGCATTAATATTTAAATGTGACACATCAAAATTACAAATAATAGTACCCGTAGATGTCACACCCCCTGCAGGAGTACTCGGCTGCCCACCCCCTCCGGGGTAATAAACTGGATGCCCCTGGGGAAACCAATATGCCTGCTGCTGCTGTCCTCGGCCACGCCCCTACCTCCGCGGCCTCTGCCGCGCCCACGTCCTCGCCCGCGCTGTGGAGCGCCGTTCTGCCGACTCTGCCCGACCGGGTAAGTCTGCTGCCCGACCGGGTGAGTGGATCCCGAATTCTGCTGGGTTGGCTGCTGCCCAGACGACTGCCTGGGATATGAAACAGCCGCGCCAAATGCCTGATGAATGGACTGGGACTCCTGGGAGCGGAGATAAAGGACCCGCTGCTCTAACTCAAGAAGATGATTACGGAGAGTCTCAAACGGGAAATTTTGTCCAAATAAGGACACAACAGTGTATAAAGATTCATACTCAGGTCCTAGACCCATAATAGTGGTTTTTAAAATTTCACGCTGAGGCACAGGACAATTGATTGTGGCAAGATCATCAGCTAATGTTTTAATTTCTCGCAAATAATTATCCATGGACTGATCAGGTTTCTTTTTAATTTGATTAAATAAATGCTTTAATTCCATAGATCTCGCTAAACTAGCAGAAATAAACCGAGACTCCAACCGTTCCCAAATTTCATATGAATGTTTTAAATCACGTACATCGATAAGAACATCCCTAGATAGGGTTGCAAATAACCATGAACGGATGGTTTGATCAATTCTTAACCAAGTAGAAAATTCGGGATTGTGGGTTTGACGGTTAAGAGCATCTATGGAATAAGCAGGGGGTACCTGAATGGAGCCATCAACCATGCCAAGGAGAGCTTGGGACACCAAAAACGATTCGAACTGTGTACGCCAGGTAGTGTAGTCTTCCACCGCTAATAATTTGGTAGTTACAATATTTGTGACATTAGTTGCCACATGTGAGATACTCTGGGCGAGATCTGTGAGGAGTGAGCCAGTCGGGATGGCTGCTGGTGTGCGAGAGGGAGGGATGACAGAGGAGACACCAGGTGAGCCAACAAAAGTGGGACCGGCAAACGAGGATCCAGCCGAGAAGGGTGGCGTGTATTATTTGATCTTGCTCACACTATTTCTCATGTGGCTACTAATGTCACAAATATTGTTACTACAAAACTCCTGGCTGTCGAAGACTATACCACGTGGCGGACTCAATTTGAATCTTTTCTTGTATCTCAAGGACTTCTAGGCATGGTTGATGGCACTCTTCAGGTACCTTCCGCTTATTCCATTGATATTCTAAATCGTCAGTCTCCCAATCCCGAATATTCTGTCTGGTTGCGAATTGATCAAACCATCCGGTCTTGGTTATTTGCAACCCTCTCTCGGGATATTCTTATTGATGTTCGTGACCTAAAACATTCTTTTGAAATCTGGGAGCGTTTAGAATCTCGATTCATGTCTGCCAGTTTGGCTCGGTCAATGGAACTACAACGTTTATTTTCCCAAATTAAAAAGAAACCTGAACAATCTATGGATGTGTATCTACGCGAAATTAAGATTTTGGCTGATGATCTTGCCACTATTAATTGCCCTGTTTCTCCACGTGACCTGCTCAAAACCACCATTATGGGACTTGGCCGTGAGTATGAGTCCTTGGTCACAACAGTCTCTCTTTTTCCTCACAATTTTCCATTTGAGGCACTCCGGAATCACCTCCTGGAACTAGAGCAGCGAGTCATCTACCTTCGATCCCAGGAGAATCTGCCGGCCCATCAAGCATTTGGTGCACAGCTGCCACCGAATAATCCACAGCAGGTGCCGCATCCGGGTGGCCAGCAGCAGCAGCAGCGCCCTCCGGCCTCTCATCAACGCGGCCGTGGCGGTCGGACACGGGGCGGCAGAGGTCGTGGAGCTCGTGGCCGGGGTCGTGGCCCGCATCCAGTGCAATATGGTCAGCCGGTGCACTGGTACCCTTCGTATGGTGCACCGCCGCCGATGTCAGCTGCTGGGAATGGTTCTGCGGCAGGGGGTGGTCTCTCGGCTGGACAACATTTGGGTACTGTTTTTCGTAATTCCACTGTGTCAACTTTAAATATTAATGCTTTACCTATTTGTGCTTCTAACTTTGGTTCTGCAGGCTCTTCATCAGATGAGGGTATACTTGGAGCGGTTCCCCATCCTATTGTCTGTCAAATTTGTTTCTCTGCAGGTCATTCCGCTATTGCTTGTCCATCTCGGATTGCTGAGAAGCTGCGGAAGCCGTGCGGCGGCGCTTTGCTGAGAGGCTGCGGAGCAGTGCGGCGGCGCTTTGCTGAGTGGCTGCGGCTGCGGAAGCCGTGTAGCGGAAAAAATAGGTATTAGGGAAGAGAGAGGAAAAATTTAGGGCTCTGATACCATGTGAAATAATGGAAAAGGTTACTCCCTGAGGAGCCCTGGCAGATATATTTATATTAGAGAGAGTTTAATGTAAAGTACAATACTGAGCCTATAATAATTCTATTAAATGGGTCAGTAGTTACAATCTAGATCATCCCAACTTTTAACTTCAAATTTTGGTTGAAAATTGAACAAGGACAATATTAATCGAAACATGAAGAAACAGGATGGATATCTCTTGTTACCTTTTGGCTTTCGCCTATGAGCATTTGATATTGGTGAACAACTGAGCAATATTCTAATCACACAAGCCAATTAGTTGTAAGGTTATTGGAAGCGAACCCCCCAAAATTGGGCATACTTTTTCTCCTTTGTTGTAAAATGTGTGGATATGTAGAATTTGAGTAAACAAAACTAGATCTACCAAAGACAGATTGATTCACAAAATTCATCACTCAGCAAATCAATGATTTCATAGAACCATAAACTTACAATGACCCGTAAAGAGAAAAATAGTTAGACATAATATTTTCTTCTCTTTTCTTCATGCTAGGTAGTAGGTACCGGTACATGTTTCTATTTATCGCATCTCGTTCCAAAACTCCCGTTCAATAAGAGTTTCAATTCATTTTTAATAACCACATGATTTGGCAAGAATAGAGATTGCAACTGCTTAGTGACTTGTTCTATGTCTTTATAGCACAATCCATAACATTATTGAAGAGCATACAGATGCACATTTGGTAAGTGGAGACGTTGAACTAGAGTTTCTGTAATTTCATGGATTTTAAAAGATTTTAATGGATTTCTATACCAAATAATTGTTCCAACTCAATCCAACATAATCTCACTCATAACCCTCGGATTTCCAAATCAATCGTTTAAATAATTCATCCAGTATTTCAGAACTTCCGCATGCAACTCCACCTTTCATCGTTGACATGCCACCGTACAAGAACCAGTCTACACCCCACTTGATACGTGCTCTCCCTTTTAACCGAAATGAAAGATCATATATGAGGAAAATGGGAGGAGAAGGGAAGGAATGATGGAGCAGATGGAGGCGGAGGAAGCGTACAATGCGGAAATGGAAGAAGAGTTGAGAAGGGTGAAGGTGCACTGTGAGCAAAGGCGGAAGGCTGCAGAAGCTGCGTCTGCAATGCTTTCATTTGGTGCCGGGAAGATCAGCCCCCCTCCTCCTCCTTGTGTTGAAGAAGGAGATGAAGATTTGCAGAAGAGGAAAAATGGAAATGTGCGCAAGAGAATTACCATCCCGTGGAAGAAGATACAGAAATAGCAGTTCCACCTTTCATACGAGCTCTCCCTTTGAGGTGGTTTGTATTAGTTGGAAAGGATATAGATAATATGTTAAAATCCATTCAAATCTATACAATTCTATGATATAGAATTTCATAAAATTCTATTAAAATTCATGGAATCTCCCTAATTCTTTTAAAATCCATAAGATTTGCAATCTTTAGAAATCCTTTAAAATATACTCGTACTCCGTATGTAATTTGCCTTGAGGCTGAGGCAGCGAGCACATAAGGATATGCCTGAGGGTATCATAGTCCTTTCAAGTCACGACACGTGACTGACTCATACGTTGGAATTTGATGACTGAAAGAATCGCGTGCCCGCCACAAGTCGCCGCGTGGATAGGGTACTCCGCCCGTTATGGCTGCCAAATTTCCCCAATTATATTGCGGATAAGGAACATATGAAAATCCTAACACCAATATTTGTAGATTTTGGGATATATTCAGAGAATGGAGAGTGAAGCTTCACCGGCTGATAAAGATGGAGCTGCTCATGTCGTCACCAGGTTAGTATAACGATTCCAAATAATTCGAAACTAATGAAATTGATTGCAGACAATACCTAAACCTACGTCTCAATTCCTCCATCTTTTGATCCTTTGAGCTCAAAGCGTTAGGAAATTCTAAAACTTTTTTAAGAAGGATCAAATTTTCGAAAATAATTTGGAGAGTTCTAAGACGCGCAGAATTTCTCTAGAGATATTTTAGAGATACGTGAATTGTTATGGAAGAATTCAAATCCATTGAAACCTCTAAAATGAGAAGAGATGTGTAGAGTTTTTTTTTTTGGAAAAATAAACTTAATTATTATTAATGAAATCATTGTCCAGTACAAATGAAATTAAACAAGGAGGAACATAAAGCCAAGAATGGAAAGTAGACATAGAACACGTAGCTTTACCCGGCCAAAGAGATGTGTAGAGTTTTTCCCCCCAGAAATTATAACCATTTTTATCTAATTAATCCTACTAGATTAAGTAGTTTAAATATTGGTGGAGTCATTCATTCTAACCAATCCAAATCAACAAACAAGCCAGTGAAGAGCAAGTCAGTTTTATGAAAAACAGTACTTGTAATCCTACTCTTGTACAGTGTAGTCCACCTCCATGTTGCAAGATTACAAACTCTTATGCTTTAAATCTTTAATTACTACGAAGTATAACTTCCAATGTCAATCTCATCGGCAAAGCGGGAAATACCGACTGTGGACTGTCCCAATGTAGTGTTTGCTTAGTTAATACATATGACAACGAGCTTTGGATTCTTTGGTCTGATTCACTGAAAGCAATCATGGTTCCAATCCCAGATTTTTTAAGTAAAAGAACTTGAATTTATAAATAGTGTTCTACTTTTAATGATGATAATCTGCTGATAGAAAGGCAATCTATATACGCTGCAGTTCCAGGAAAAAACACGAAGCTGGGAAGGAGAAACGGAAATGCGAAAAAGCTCCTAAAAGAATCCACAAGGCCGAGAGGGAGAAACAGAAACGTGATAATGTGAACACTCTATTCTCAGATCTAACCAAAGTTTTGGGTGAGGAAAACTGATTCTGGTCAGCATCTTCTCGTTGCAAATTGGAAGTCTTAACTCAGCATACTAATTTGTGATTATATAAAACTTTACATTTGAGTAGAGCCATCTGGTCATGATTATGGGAAGGCTTGCATGTTAAGAGAAACCATACGATTGGTGGGGGAACTAATTGCACAAATCGATTCTCTCAGAAAGGAGAACGCTGCTCTCACTTCAGAGTCTCACTATGTAAGGACTACAAGCATCGCTTCAACAGTCAATAACTTCACCTTATGGAAGATTTTTTTTGTTTGAACTAAATTTACGGTTTTCAATCTATCGTCAGGGCAATCGTGATATACATTTTTTAGCCTAAATTTAACAGTTCATATAACTTATTTTATTAAAAAAGTAGGCACAAGAAAACATTTTTACCTACCCTTATAACCTGGGGTGTGCTTAGGCCCATCCCTTCTAAAAGTGTTGTAACACCTTGTATGACAGTGTACTTTTTCATTTACAGGCCACACAAGGACTACAAATCAGGTTGATTTTAATAGCATGTTTGACATTGGTGTTTCATTCTAAAAGGTTGTCTTAAAAGGTTATGAGAGTAGTCTAAAGTCTTATATTTTGATTTGGTATTTAACAGAAACGGGAAAATTCTTCGAATTTCATGTTTTTTTCATATATTGGAAGTATGAGGACTGATTTTAAAGTTCAGGATTTGAAATATAATCTGATATTCAAAATATGGCAACAGATAAAATGTGGGTATGTATTATGATGCTAGTTGTCAAATGGTCCGTATATTTTTTTGTCAAATAATTTCAGTGTTACTTGACTGTTATTCTTCAATTATGGTACATTATACTACTACCTGTTTGCTCATCGAGTCATATCTGTTGTGAATAATGAATAGATGAGCATTGAGAAGGATGAGCTTAAAGAAGAGAAGCATGCACTTGAAGCTCACATTGAGAGCCTGCAGGCTGAAATAGATGAGAAAATGCATTCCCAGAACACCAATATTCATTACTGCCATCAAGCCCCTGATATCACTTCTTTGCCAGATCTTACAACGAGTTCTACAGGTCCGATTTTGGTTATTCCAGTACTTAATGATAACAGCGGGGCTGAGAGGGAAGAAGCGGGGCATAATCTCCCATCCAATGTGAGTAGGCCCCGCCCTCGGTACCCGTCTTCCTCTGACTTATGGCCTTCACATGTGCTAAAACAAACATCCCGGGACAACTGATAAATCTTAGCCCGGTTAGGCAGTGGATCCATGAGGTTTTCTAAGGAAATAATGGTCTCATATGACACCTCTTGATGTTCAAGGCGATGCACATTTTCAAGCCTATTTCAAACCGGTTTGAAATAGCACCTGAATGTTCTGAAAAGTCAGCAACTGACATGGAAATTGAACCGGAGCTTTCACAGAAAAGCTTATCTGCTTTATGCAAAGAAGCAGTTTGATGAGGCAATTTGAAGAAGTTGAATGTTTCATTGTTATCTTTAAATAGATGAACTGTGCACATATCTATCGTGCAGTATATGTACTATGCACACTTAGTTACATTGGAGATATTGTGAGTTTTAATGTTTTATAAGAGAGTGAGTAACTGAGTATATGATAGTGTTTTTGCTTATGTCAATTTCAGAGATGCCTATATTTTATATCATTAAACTCCTAATTAAAAAATCTTCCATGAGAAACAAAGAGAGTATTCCAAAATAGGTGTCCCTACTACGTTAGGGTTGAGATATTTCCGCCCCTATAGCGTGTAGTGGTGCTTTTCGTCGGAATGATCTGGTTCGAAGAGGCACGGAGCGATTGAATCCACGATTGAAACGCAGGGATAAGGTCGCGAACGACAGCGATGCATAGTGAAGCAGTTGTATTTTTTTTCTCTTTTTGTGACTCTCCAGGTTTTATCTCTTTGTCTTTGGAGACTCTCTCCTTGTTCGACGCGGCAATGACGTTTCAACAGACGTGGTCGAGTAATTAAGGTTCTATGATGACATCAATGGAGGATTTGGTGCACAATTATAAAGGAATGGTTCTAGAGGAAGAGAACAATAGTTTATATAGACGAAGGGTGGGCAGATGGAGAAGACAAAGGCTTCGTTTGTTTTTCAGCGGGTGGGTAGCAAACCGCTGCATTTTGAAGCGTTTTGATGTTTTAATTGATTAGCGGTTTGCTCCATCCGCTGTTATCCAAATGGCACCAAAGTGGTTACCTTCTCGGTGGTTGGAAAGCTCATCATGGATAAACACGAAAAATTCTCTTTCTTTAGAGATGTTATTGCATCTTTGGAGGCTTGCAAAGGATGTCTCGATTAGAGAAATTAAGGATAAAAGATACGGAGTATAGCTTTTTTTTAAGTAACAACGTCGCCTTTCTGTTGCTTGGAATGTGAACCCTTAATAGATAAATTTGGGTATGACGGGGTTCGGAGTTTGCAAACATCCAGAAGTCTACAACAACATTCAAAATTGCAAGACAAATAACCAAGCAAAACGTCTTAAATCTGTGATAATAAAAAATCTAGTTTCTCGCTCTAAAGTGGATGGTTTGCCAATAATATATACGTAGTGTTATATATATATATATAGGAAAATTCTATGGTCCAGCACCTTACGGTCCGAATGCCGTCCGAACACCGCCGTTTGGGACGGTTCCCGGTGGAATTTTTTGATGAAATGTTTTGAGCATGTTCCTCATCAAGTCTAGTTTATCCATACCAAATTTCAACTCAAAGTTCGATCGGGAAGGCAGTCAAATAATTCGTTGAAGTTAACTGCGTTTTTCTATGTATAATTTAGCTCAGTTGACTTCAACGAATTATTTGACTGCCTTCGTGATCGAATTTTGAGCTGAAATTTGGTATGGATAAACTAGACTTGATGAGGAACATGCTCAAAAAATTTCATCAAAAAATTCCGTCGAGAACCGCTCTAAACGACGGTGTTCGGACGGCGTTCGGACAGAAAAGTGCTGAACACGAGAATGTCTCTCTCTATATATATATCTTTATACGATGGATAAAAAACGTTATTTGAAAAAAATGGACAGTAAATGTTTGCTTAAAAACAATTGTCAACGGTGAAAATAGTATTTGTAAAAAGATTGACAAAGCCAAACATTTATTCTTTGAAAAAGAGTTTTTCCAACTGACATTTTGTATTAGTCACCTAATTTCATAGGGAACTAATATCTACCAATAAATCCAACAATACGATGTTTTCCATATTCCTCAAACTTTTTGCCAATGGCAAATTATTATTGGCATTGTCACTACCACACAATATGATTTCAAAATGTGTATAAATATTAGAGCAGTCAATTCATCTTGTTCAGAGCGACCCATAATTTGACGGCAAATTATATCCTGCAACCGGCGCACCATGAGGATGGTGCGCCCGGTTGCAAAACGACGTAGGGGTGCCTTGTTTCTTTTTCTTTTTTGCTTTTGTTGTTAAAAAATGATAATAACTTTTTTATTTTTTATCCGATTTTTATAAAATTTATATCAACTTTTTTTATTTTTCATGATCTTTCAAATGAGACCAATATTGCTTATGTAATTTTAAGAACTTATCGAACTATTATAATAATGAGTATTGGATTATAAGGAAAATCGAACTAAATTTAATTTAGAAAAATAATTGTGTAAATCACAATTTATCTTAAAATTGTGTATATAAAAAATTTATTGTATTATGTATTTATACATGTGAGTTACATATTTTTATACGTAAAGTTACATATTTTTACACGTAAAGTTACATATTGCTACACGCAAGTTGCATATATATACACACGAGTTGCATATGAATTGCAGGGAGATGATAGGTTTGTGAAATAGAAGATCGAATCTGTTTGGGAGTGGATCAGTGGTCTCAGTTACATTTGATAATACATTGAGTTACATCTTTTTATAAGCAAGTTACATATTAATACACGCGGGTTACATATTTATACACACGAGTTACATTTGACCTGTCTGAACGCGAGTTACATATTTTTTTACGTAAAGTTACATATTTTTACACGTAGAGTTACATATTTATACACACGAGTTGCATTTGGCCTGACTGAACGTGAGTTACATATTTCTACACATAAAGTTACATATTTTACATAGGTTAATATAATAGTTCGATATTATGTTAAAATTTCATAGGCAATATTGGTCTCATTTGAAAGATCATTAAAAATAAAAAATGTTAATATAAATTTTATAAAAATAGGACCAAAAATAAAAAAATTATTACCATTTTTAAAATAAGAGAAATAAAAAAAATACCCAAGCGTATGACGGTATAGCGGTCATACGGTATAAGTGTATAACTACTGTAATTTGACCTCTTCTGAGGACCATAACAACTCAAATTTGTTACTCTCTAGAATCATTCCCACAGCTTTCCATATCTCAATCAGATACTGACCAACAACTTGAATTTTCTTCAAGTCCCCTATGCTCGTAACAACATCAAATCTCTCCTCCAAACTCATCTGGGACTCAGAATTGCACGGGCTAGAGGATGAGGAGTGCAAGGATAGTGATCCCAAAGCATCCAACTGGGACTCTTGATTGTCCATGGATGACTGCTTCTGCGCCAGAGCTGGAGGCAGAGCCACGGAGAAAGGGGGGTCGAAGGACACTGGACGGCGAAATCTCGGCGTGGACATCGGAACAAGGCATGGCTGCTGGCTTGGTGTTCTCGTCTACGTCGATAGCTTTACCATATGAGAAAATTACCAAAATACGGGAATCTCCCATCTGACAAGCCAAAATACGGGAGTTCCTTTTAGGTTACCAAATTACGGTAGTCGGAATTGGCAATTCCGACTGGAGGGGAAGTCCGAAATTAGGGTTGAAACCCTAGTCGGAATTGGGCAATCCGACTAGAGGTAAGTGCCAATTTAATTATAAAAACCTAGTCGGAATTGGGGAATCCGACTAGGGTATTTTTGATTTTTTTTAAAACAATGCGTAAAGCGGATAAAATTTATTAAAAACCTAGTCGGAATTGGGAAATCCGACTAGGGTATTTTGATATTTTTTAAAAAAAATGACGTGTTTAATTGTGGTTCGAACATTTTACCAACCAACTCGTTTTATTTTCATTTTATTGTTTGCACTACATGTTTTATCTGTATTCATTAATTCTACCAACTGCATTTATATGGTCACCGTACGTACCCCAACAGCTCCTATAAAATGAGTTCATTTCTTTTCAAAATTTTCACTCCAAAAATAATCCTTCTTTCTCTCTTGATATATTTATTACATTTTCTGTTTAGGCATTCTTCTCTCATATAAAAATGTCTAGTGAGGGAAATATTGTTGTTATGGTTCATTGGAATGGCTCTACATCTCAAAAAGATGATGAAATAGAGTACTCCATACCTCCTAGGGCGGTACTATTCATTAGTGAAGCAGATGATTATACTACTATACATGAGAATGTTCTAAATCATGTTAGAGGCGACGGATTTTCCGAAATTAAATTAATTTACGGAAAATTGCCAAAATATAAGAATTCTGTATATGTTGCTTCTAGACTATGGCCCATTCACGATGAGCAGACATGGCATCATTTTTTCCGGATCGCTAAAAATGAGTATGAGGAGTTGCACATTTACGTGGAAGCTTCAGCGACCCCGCCACAAACTTTGACGTTCCACGGAACTCCCAGAGAGGAAGGCCCATCATCCGTATATGGTCGGAGGAACAACCGCCAAACGTTTCAGAACTACGAATCTCCTGATATGTGTTGTTCAAGTTAAATAGAATTTACAATGATTTGGTTTTATTTGTTGTCATTTTAAGAGTGTAGAAGTAGTTAATTTAGTAATTTGTAAGTTTTTTAATTTTGATTGTTAAATAGGAATTTCAGAGTAAAAATTGGCTACCTGTCTGTCTCATCTGCACAAATTCAATACTTCTATCTAATTACACAAGAAACACATTCTAGTTCAAATAAATGAAATAACCGGAAGTGGAAGTGGAATTTTAAAAAAATTTAAAATTTTATCTCTTGTCGGAACACCCAAATCCGACGAGAGCACAAAAAGTTTTTATTATTCAAATAAACTTAAAATTTGTATACAGCGCATAAAATTTCAAAACTCCTGTCGGAACACCCAAATCTGACCAGAGCACAAAAAGATTTTATACTTCAAATAACTTAAAAATTTTATTTGAGAGTGTAGAAGTAGTTAATTTAGTAATTTGTAAATTTTTTAATTTTGATTGTTAAATAGGAATTTCAGAGTAAAAATTGACTATCTGTCTGTCTCATATGCACAAATTCAATACTTCTATCTAATTACACAAGAAACACATTCTAGTTCAAATAAATGAAATAACCGGAAGTGGAAGTGGAATTTAAAAAAAATTTAAAATTTATCTCCTGTCGGAACACCCAAATCCGACGAGAGCACAAAAAGTTTTTATTATTCAAATAAACTTAAAATTTGTATACAGCGCATAAAATTTCAAAACTCCTGTCGGAACACCCAAATCCGACCAGAGCACAAAAAGATTTTATACTTCAAATAACTTAAAAATTTTATTTGAGAGTGTAGAAGTAGTTAATTTAGTAATTTGTAAATTTTTTAATTTTGATTGTTAAATAGGAATTTCAGAGTAAAAATTGGCTATGTGTCTGTCTCAT